ACAACATCAGCAAAGTAATCAATTACTGTCTGCACAATCAACTGGTTAAACGATGAAAAAAAAAAACACAGCATCATTTTCCGGTTTTTCGGCTGTTGTATATCGGAACGACTTTTAGGAATTTAGAAATGATACCATTCCTGCATATAATATACGCACGAAAAACTGAACCCATATTCGAGTGCCTTCCGAAGGATCGCATACGAATATGCTTAATCGAGATCATTCTACTGAATTATTCTTGGCTATACTTCAGTTATTTTGCTGTTAATCGAATATATTAACCCTATTGTTAACCGTATACTGGTCGAGAATTCAACCCTTGATAACAGTGCTGACTGGGAAACAAAAGCACCGCCGACATCGAGAACTGACTGGCCATCAGGCGATGCAGCATACGGCGAAGTTGCTAAAAAAAAATTGCCGCACAGTGAATCTTCTGTCCAAGAAGGGGTCGTCTCAAGTGTACCCAGAGCTAGAGCAGATATCCAAGAACGATAAAGTCAACGGCCACTTGCGCGTTCGTCAAAAAAATGGCATATGCATCAAAAGGGTTTTAGATATTAGAACTCGAAATACACAGCCAGGGTAGAAAGGCTCGTGACGAATCCCAATAACATCAATAACATTCCAACACCAAATTTAGGACTAATCTAAACAGTCTTGATAATCAAGGAAAAAAATTTTAATAGAATCCAGAAAATGGCGAAAATGTATCATTTTTTCCTTTTTCCCGAGTTTCTTCTGAAATTTTTCCTGAATTTCTGGGTTTTTTCAAAAAAGAAAAATTTTTTTTTCGAAAGTTTTGTTTGGAGAAGCGCCCGCCCTGAAATCAGTTACATTTTCGGCAGCGGAGTTTATTGCACTTTTTTTTGTCCTGTTTATTTTGCTTTCCTGCATGTTGAAGTTTTTTGTTTACTTTTAGAGTTATAAGTTTTCGATGCAAGTGCAGAAATACTGTTTTGTCCCCTTTTGGTTATTTTCATCTCACATCATACATTTATGCAGCGTCGTGTGAATTTATGAGCTTTTTTGGAGCTTATGAAAATGTTTTTTTTAGGCGAGCAGTTCACCGAATCATTTGATATCAACTTACTTTAAGCAATCTTTGAGTAAAAGAAACATCGGCAGCCTTACCAACGAGTAGTTGCCGCTGCCCTTAGAACACTTCTACCTGTCCCACTTTTTCATAAGGAGTGAATGCAGAGGTTTTTATGCGTTTTGTGCTGCGGAACAGCAGTACAAAACGCATATTGTCACAGGGTTGTCTGTGTATGTGTTCGTATGTATGTGTATATGTTCGCAGCAACTTGTCTGCACCTTTCAACTCGGGAATCACAGAAGCTAGGAATTTGAAAATTTGGATGAAATTTCCCCACCCATGTACGATCGAGCAAATTTAAATTCAGCCTCACGTAGCCGCGGGTAATGCGTACGGCCCCCTAAAAGTTGGGGTTGGTAAAATTATTATCTCAGGAGCCACAGGAGCTAGAAGGCTGAAATTTTGCGAGCATGTCCCTTGCTCAGTTGCTACCCAGAAAGTTTAAATTCACCCTTCTCTTGCCCACGGGTAACACGAACGACCTCGTAACAATTTTGGCGGGTAAATTATTATTTCGGGAGCCACGAAATCTACGAAGTTGAAATTTCAGGGTAATGACCCCCCGTCCACGCATGGCTGTGTAAATTCAAATTCAGCGTTCCCGCGCTCTCGGGTATCAGCTACGGGCCCGTGAAAATTTTGACGGAGAAGTTATTGTCTTGGGAATCATAAAAGTCAAGAAACTGCACTTTTGGGGTATTGTCGGTGCGCGAGATTTTTAACGATTTTTCAACGTTTCAGCTATTTTTGCTCAGACTAAAATATCAAGCAGTGGAAATCATTACAGGCAATCGTTCTGTGGATGAATCGCACAAAACGCA